GTATCGGCCTGCCTGGCGACTCCGGGGTTCTGAGTCTGCCGCTTGAGATACAAATTTTGAGGTAGAAATTATCCAAATGCAGAAAAATATTAGTTAAAAAAATAATAATCTGTAAATAAGGCATGCTCCAGATTTTCCTCAGCTTAATCCCCCCTCCCATGTAAGAACGTACAAAGTAGTGACATCAACATTATTTCTGTGTATATTTCAAATCATTAATTAAAGTATTATTTGCTTCAAGAATTACTGAATATGCACAAAGTTGCATAACTGTAACCCCTATTTATTTAACCTGGAACTCTCTGGAAAACTGTGGGTGCAATATTCACTGAAGCAAGTAACATTTACTTAAGAAAGGAGTATTTTTAGAGTCTGTGATTTCTGAGTATCTTTCCCTCTTCTACAAAGCCACCCATAGCTGTTTACACAGGACTGGGGAGGGGAAAAAATTGACAGCCCCTATTTAAGGGTGAGGGCAACTGTATAATTTAGCATTAGTCTTCCTATAAAGGAATAAAAGCTGCTGTTGGGAGTTACTAAATGAGTAGTATCAACAAAGTCTTTTGTAAACCTATCTGGAAAGATGACCTATCCTTCCTCCCAAATAACACAGACTTCTCAACTGGATAGTAGCACAGTCATGGTACATTAGCACTCAAAGGAGCTGAGAAAGGTCAGCGAGAAACAAGTTCATCGGAGTTCATGTCCTCTTACACTCAGGTTATGAAATGTATAACCAGAATGACACTGTATGAGGAATATGCAAATAAATGTACCACGGAATAAACTGACTTCATCTGTTTATGTAGAAGTTCAAGGACATCAAAACATAAATCACTCTGTTTTGTTGGAACAGATAACTGTACTCTTGATAGTATAAGAAAATGTTGCTGACGCACATAATCTTTCTCTGCACCTTTTTCCCATGGCTTCACTACCATCAGCTCTGTGAACCTGGCAACAGGTAGAAGGCAACAGCCAAACCAAACATCAAACACATCTCTTTCAACTGTTACTCCTTATCCTGATATTGAAAGATATTTCAAAATTATATTTAGAATAAGGACAAAGGAAAAACTTATTTTTAAAGGATGTCACAAATTCAACCTACTCATGCATCCAGTCTTTCAGAAAGTGTCTTTTGAGTGACTTTGGGCAGTATTTAAATATAGCTACATATTCATAGGGCCTCATGCTTCAATCCCCCTAACAGAGGTGGAGGGCAGAGGGACAGGGAGCAAACAAAAAACCCCAACTGGACCTTGTATGAGCTGGGCTTGTAGACTCAAGCTTCCAGATGTAACTAAAACCAGTTGCATACCCCTAGAAGTAATAAATCAAATCATTTAACTATTATTCAGACAAACAGCCTTCCCAAGCAAAATTCATCGATGGCTTGAGAAATTAATTGTTTGCAAAACAGTGCTGCTGGCCAGTGTTTAGCATCCATCCATATAGCTCAGTAATAAAAATATGAAGTTTAAATACACTTATACATAAACGAAATGATCACAACTTTTTCTTTTTAAATACAGCTAAGGAACCCCTAGTACTTGAAGCATGGAAATGTGCAATCAGTAGGGCTCTGTGACGACAAAACTGTATTTGCTATATCTAAACTTCATTGCCAAAAGCAAGGTCTATAATTTTCTAGGCATGCCTCTGTCATTTTAGAGTGGACAGAAGGAACATTTTATGACTGACATAACTGATGGCAAATGCCCCTCACATAGATAGTATATTTTGATAAATCTGACCATTACCCAACACAGTTTATTTTTCTTGGAGGAAAAAGGCTGAAGCCTGGTATGCTGGCAAAAGCATAGTTGAGCAGGCAGGAAAGATGCTAATATTAGAACTATTTGGTTGGTGTACTTAAATATTAGCAAAGCATTCCCAGTCAAGATCTCAAACTGGAAGGTGATGCAGTGAAATAGAGTTGGGGTAGGGTAATATGACAGAAGAAAAGGAATGGGAGAGTAAAACAGGATCATTTTTTCTTTCATGATGATGAAATTGTTGTATATAGATGATTTAAGCAAACATCCTCTGACAAATCTGTTGCATTACTAAAGATTCTGTCACCCCTATGTTGTGCTTCAAATTGTTTGGTGGAAAAAGGGCGCATGTGTTGTGCTCAACCATCCCAATTCACAGCTCTCTGTATCTCTGAAACCCCACTTATTTCATAAATTAACTCAAACACTGCTACACAATGCACAGGAATAGCTAAATCATAAGACATGTCAGCCTGTAGGACCAGTGAATTTCAGTTGAAAAGTGGGGTGGACGAGTGGTATTAGTGCATTTATTGTAATTAAATGTCCCGTAATTACATTGAAATGGCTGTGAAAATTTTTCAGAAGGGATACAGCATTGAAAAACAATTCAGAGTTCAGAGAAAACTTTGAATAAGACAGATCATCTATGTAAACTAGGATCATACATTCTAGAGTGTCGGTCATGAAATAATTTACTTTTTAACCTGAATTTTACACATGCCTGAGTCCCACTTCTTGTGTTCGGTACCCCAGTTATGCATTAAAAAGAAAACACCAAATAACTGTGAAAAATAATGCTTGTTATGAATCAACCACTGCTAAAAATGAGCTGCTAAATATATATATCAATGCCAATATAGAAATAAAAACTATAAACTGCAAACTTGGATTCTAGTCTATCTTAATATCTTTGTCACAGAAAATGTTTGCAAACAAAGCTGTGCTGCTATAGTCAGTATATTGAATCTGTATTACCCACATGGTCAATAACATATATGACAATGTTGAGTAGATGGAATAATATTTATCTTTTTGACTTCAGACCTAAGAATGCTTGCTCAAGGTCACCAATATATTTCATAATGTCTAGGGAAAATATTTTCAGATTCCCAAGGGGTTTGTAGAAAAAGGTTTGTGTTTATAGGCCCAGATCACCCAGTGGCAAGAAACTTTTAGTTAGATAACTAACTCCCTTATGTTTTTGGTAGTGTGGATTTAGGAGATAGTTTGGCCCACTACAGTCGTAGCTATAAAATCAACTATTCTTGAGTTTTCATACGAAGCTGTCCTCACTAACATTTCTTATGCAATCATTAAGTATAATCTAAGTTTACAATTACCAATTATATGCATTTTTCCAGATACAGAAATCAAAGCACATTGCCAAGACAGTAGAAATTGTCAGCATCATTTTCTGTGAAGAATCACACAGGTACAGAGAGGTCACAGGTACCTTGCCTAAGGTTACACTCTTTTCTTGCTTCTGCAGAGAGTTTGGTGCCTCTGATCTCAAATTACTTCTCTAACTCCGCTGACCCCCCCTTAAATATAATAAACCCCCGTAAGTACTACCTAATGTAAATGCTGTTAAGCGCCCATAATATGATGGGAGAGGTCTTCTTTCATAAGATGCTTTACTGCAGCATACCGGTATTTACAGTGAATTGACGTCTTTTCCAATCACCCCGTTACAGCTGTTAATTCCTAGATGAGTTATTATGACCCAAACCGCGGAGAATTTCGTTCAGGAGGGAGCCGAGCTGCCACAGCAGTATATGCGGGCTGCGGGCGGCCCCGCCGCCTTCCCCGTCGGGAACACGGGGAGAGCTCGGCCACGGCCCCGCACGGCGGCAGCTGGAAGCGCCGCATCACTTTCGTGATTTTTTTCTTCCCCTTGCTTGTTTGTTTGTGGTGTTTTGCGGTTTCCCCCCCCTCGTCTTTACTGTTTCAGCTCCGGCGCAGGCCGACAAATGAAAGCGTGTCCGACGGCACTCCAGGGAGACAGGAAAACACGGATGGATGTTTGCGTGACCCCAGCCTCACTTTTCTTCCCGGGCATGTGCAAAGGGAGGCTTCCCCAGCCGCTCCCGAGGCGGGCGGAGATGCGGCTGCGGTTAGGAACAGGCTGGCCGGTGTCAGTACAGCCTCCTCCCTTCATCCCTTGACTTTTACTATCGCTGTCCTCCCGCACCGCTCTGCGCGCTGGGTGACGCGCCGCGGCCGCCCTCATCGGGGGGCGAGCGCCCGGCATCCCCGCCCGCAGCCCCCGCCTGGGCCCCTGCACTCCCCCCTCCTTCCCCCGCTCCCGCCTCACACAGGAAAATGCGGGCTGGACCGACCCCCGCCCCTCCTGCCGCCCATCCCGGCCGGGGCCCCTCCGCCCCCCTCGCCGTTCACCTCCCTCCGGCGGAGGGAGAGAAAGGCGCTCATTGATCGCGGGCGCGGCCCGCCTGCTGACGAGCGCGGGTCCCCTGTAAACAAGCGCGACACCTCCCCCGGCCCCCGCCCCCGCCGTGTCCCGCCCCGCGGAGCGCCGCTGAGGGAGCGGGAGCGGCGGGGGGCGCTGGGGCCGCTTTGCCCCCGCCGCCGCATGTTCTGTCATCACCCCGCCGCGATCCCCCAACGGAGCCGAGATCGTTTCCAGATGAAAAGCGGACGCTGCCCTTGTTCTCCACTAAAGCGAAGCGCCCGGATGAATTAGTGCTGTTTAACGAACACGGGCTACCAGCGGCAGCCGCTGCCCCCGGCCCTCTCTGGGTGGCATTTCCCCGCCGCGCGGGGCGCGGGCGCGGGGGCGGCAGCGCGGCGTGGGCGCTGTGACACACCGGGCGGAGGAGCGCGCGGAGCCGCCGCGCGTGTGCGGGCAGGGCTGACGCAGACGCGCGTGTGTGCGGGGGCGTGCGGGGGGCGCCCGGCGCTCACGCACGGCCGGAAGCTCCGCCCGGCGGGTCCGCAGCACCTGATATGGCCTCGGCGAGTTCCCGAGGGATGGCGAGGGCCGGCACCGGGGCTCGCCGGATGTACCGGATCTCCCCGCCGTGTCCGCGCCCCCGGCACGTTCCGCGCTGTGTGCGGGGAGAGCAGCGGCGACAGCGACGAGTTGAGCTGCGCCCGAGGGGGGCCGGAGGCGGTGGGCGGGAACGCGGAGGGGCGGGAAGGGGGGGGGCGAGGCTCCCGCCGTCCAACGGCGGCGCGCCGCCTCGCTGCCGAGAGCCCGCCCCGCCGCCCCATTGAGGGCCGCAGCCGTCCTTCGCGCTGCCCGGCGGCCAATGCGGGGCGGTGCCGGCGGCGGCGGCGCTCCGCCCCGTCTCGGTGTGTGAGCCCTCGGTGAGGCGGCGGTCACGTGTTGTTTTGCTCTTTAGTTGGGGCACTCGGTGCGCGATGTGTTACTTACGGCGAAACTCCCGCCGGCAGCACCAGCAGCAGCAGCGGTCGGGGAGCCTTAGCGGCGTCGCCGGTAGTCGAGCCGGGGAGGACGCCGGGCGGCCGCCAGCAGCACCCGCTGCCTAGAGTGACAGCGGAGGATCCCGCTGCGGCTCCGAGCACTGCGCTCTTCTACGAAGGAATAACTTTATTTTACCTGCTTTCCTCCGTCTTTCCTTTTTTCTTTATTTTTCTTTTTCCGCCGCGGCGCTCGGGCTCCGGATCCGCTCAGCGTCGGCGACAGCAGCGAGAGGAGCCGGGCGGCGCTCCCGCCGCGGGGCTGGGGATGGCGAGCTCTGCTGTGCTGGGGCTGCTGCCCCCCCTGAGCTCCCCGCCCGGCCCCAACCTGAACAACAACAACAACAACAACCAGGGCGTCAGGAAGTGCGGGTACCTGCGCAAGCAGAAGCACGGCCACAAGCGCTTCTTCGTGCTGCGCGGCCCCGGCGGCGGCGGGGAGGAGGCGGGGGGCGCCCGGCTGGAGTACTACGAAAGCGAAAAGAAATGGAGGAACAAGTCTGGGGCGCCCAAGCGGGTGATCGCCCTGGATTCCTGCCTCAACATCAACAAGCGGGCGGACGCCAAGCACAAGTACCTCATCGCCCTCTACACCAAGGACGAGTACTTCGCTGTCGCGGCCGAGAACGAGCAGGAGCAGGAGGGCTGGTACAGGGCTCTCACCGACCTGCTCAACGAGGGCAAGGCGGCCTGCCAGGGGTCCCCCTACCGCCACCTCGCCTCCCCCTTCTCTGCCTCCTGCGGCGCGGCCGCCGCCTCCCTGGCCGCGGCCGGCGAAGACCTTAACTACGGGCTGATCGCGCCGGCCACCGCTGCCTACCGAGAGGTCTGGCAGGTGACGCTGAAGCCCAAGGGCTTGGGTCAGAGTAAAAACCTCACCGGCGTCCACCGGCTCTGCCTCTCGGCCCGCACCATTGGGTTCGTGCGCCTCAATTGCGAGCTGCCCTCGGTCACGCTGCAGCTGATGAACATCCGCCGCTGCGGCCACTCCGACAGCTTCTTCTTCATCGAGGTGGGGCGCTCGGCCGCCACCGGCCCCGGCGAGCTCTGGATGCAAGCGGACGACTCGGTGGTGGCCCAGAACATCCACGAGACCATCCTGGAAGCCATGAAGGCGCTGAAGGAGCTGTCCGAGTTCCGGCCCCGCAGCAAGAGCCAGTCCTCCTCCTCCTCTTCCTCCGGGGGGGCCGGAGGGCCCGGCGGCAGCGGCGCCTCCGCCACCCATCCCATCACCGTGCCCGGTCGCCGGCACCACCACCTGGTCAACCTGCCTCCCAGCCAGACCGGCCTCCTCCGCCGTTCCCGCACCGACAGCCTCGCCGCCGGCGCCAGCACCAAGTGCACACCGTGCCGGGTGAGAACGGCCAGCGAGGGCGACGGCTGCCGGGTGGGCTCTGCGGCCGGCAGCCCTATGAGCCCGGGCCCTGTGCGGACCCCCCTGAGCCGCTCGCACACGCTCAGCGGCGGCGGAGGGCGGCAGGCAGGGAAGCTGCTCCCGGTGCTGGCCGGCGGTGGCGGCGGCGGGCTGCAGAGCAGCCGTTCCATGTCCATGCCCGCCTCCCACTCTCCCCCCTCCGCCACCAGCCCCATCAGCCTCTCCTCCAGTAGCGGCCTCGGCTCCGAGCCTGCCCACCCGCATCACCCGCAGCGCCCGTCCAGCGGCAGCGCCTCCGTGTCCGGCTCCCCCAGCGACGCCGGCTTTATGTCCTTCGACGAGTACGGCTCCAGCCCAGGCGGCGACCTCCGGCCCTTCTCCTCCTCTTCCACTGCCAGCAACCGCAGCAACACCCCCGAGTCGGTGGCCGAAACCCCCCCGGTGCGGGACCCGGGGGGCGGCACTGACCTCTACGGCTACATGGCCATGGAGCGGCCCCCGAGTGGCCGCTTCTGCTACCGGCCCTGCCCCGACGCTGCCAGCGACAGGTGCCATCGGAAGCGGACCTACTCCCTGACCACGCCGTGCCGGCAGCGACCCGCCGCGCCGCAGGTTTCCTCCGCCTCCCTCGACGAGTACACGCTGATGCGCGCCACCTTCGCCGGCAGCGCCGGCCGCCTCTTCTCCTCCTGCCAAGCCGGAGCTTCACCCAAAGTGACCTACACCCCCTATCCGGAGGACTACGGGGACATCGAGATCGGTTCTCACCGCAGCTCCGGCAGCAGCAGCACCAATCTGGGCCCGCCGGCAGTGGGGGGAGGAGGGGAAGATGATGACGGCTACATGCCCATGACCCCCGGTGTGGCCGCAGCCTTAGGGCAGGGAAGCCGGGGCAGCGATGATTACATGCCCATGAGCCCCACCAGCGTGTCTGCCCCCAAGCAGATCCTGCAGCCCCGGGCAGGGGTGGGTAGCGGGTCCCCGGGGAACGGGAGCAGCTACAAGACCAGCTCGCCTGGGGAGAGCTCCCCTGACGATAGCGGGTACATGCGGATGTGGTGCGGCTCCAAGTTGTCCATGGAGAGCTCAGATGGAAGGCTGAGTAACGGTGACTATATCAATATGTCCCCTCGGGACCCCCAGAATGGGCCCCAAGCTCCCTCCCTCACCCCCCCAGACTTCTTTTTTGCCCCTTCAGGGCATGGGTCCAGTGAGCCCCCAAAGCCCAGCTGCTATTCATACAGCTCCTTACCCCGCTCCTACAAGAGTCAGGGCTTGGCAAAGGACAGCGACCAGTATGTCTTCATGAACTCCCCGGGGAGGATGATCCCGGAGGAGGCGGTGTGTGGAGCGAGCCAGTTGCCTGCAGGCACCCTCGCCCCCTCCAGCCACACGGTGCCTTCGCCCCTGCGGCACAGCCGGACCGAGAGCTTCCTTAGCCAGCGCTGCCAGCGGGTGGCCCGGCCCAGCCGCCTCTCTTTGGAGACCTTGCGGACGATGCTGCCCAGCATGAATGAGCACCCTCTGCCGCCTGAGCCCAAGAGCCCCGGTGAATACATCAACATTGACTTCGGGGATGCTGCCGTCTATTCTCCCCCCTCACTGCCTGCTGACAGCCCAGCCTCCTCCCTGGGCTCGGGCACGGGGCAGAGGCGCTCCCCTCTCTCTGACTACATGAACATTGACTTCGGGTCACAGTCACCTTCCCAGTCGGGCACGGTCTCGGTGGGCTCCTTGGAAGCTCTCTCTCCAGGTTCTTCCTCCAGCACCAGCCAGCCCAATGGGCACTACCTGAAGACGGCTGTGGGGATGGCTTGTTCATCCAGCCCATCGGATGCTGGTGATTACACCGAGATGACCTTTGGAATGGCCACTACCCCACCTCAACCCATTGTTCAGAAACCAGAAAGTGCCCGGGTTACCAGCCCCACATCTGGTGTGAAGAGGCTCACCCTCTCTGGGGTGGAGGCTTTCATTCTCTCCAGCCCTCCCCCAGACCCGAATCGGGGGGCCAAAGTAATCCGGGCAGATCCCCAGGGGCGGAGGAGGCACAGTTCAGAAACTTTCTCCTCCACCACCACTGTGACCCCAGTGTCCCCCTCCTTCGCACACAACCCCAAACGACACAACTCTGCCTCGGTGGAGAATGTGTCCCTCAGGAAAAGTGAAGGCCTGGAGGAGGAGCAGGGTAGCAGTCCCATGTGCCGGGAGACCTCGGCTGGCTTCCAGAATGGCCTCAACTACATCGCCATTGATGTTGTGGATGGGTCCTTGGCAAACTGTGACAAATCCCGGTTGAAAGCTAGGCACCTCCTGAATGGGGGCATCAATGGAGTAGAGATGAGCACCTATGCCAGCATAGACTTTCTGTCTCACAACCTGAAAGAAGCCAGTGCTGTGAAAGGTGAGTAGCTACATCTGACAGTGCCTGCTGTGCGTGTTCGTGCTTTATGTTTACCATCACAAGGTTGTGTGGTGTTGTGTAGAGCACTATCCCTCTTCGCTTCCTTAGAAATCACTTTTATCCCTTTGTACATGTCCTGCAATAAGCAGTCTTGGAGGAACTTAGTGGCTCTTTGTATGAGGAAAGGGGTTTAATTTTGGAATATTTATTCATGTTTCAATACTACTGTGCTGTTATTATGTGTTTATACTTCTGGGTACCCCATGAGAAGCTGCTGTTTACACAGTTTCTATGTTTGGATTGCATTCAGAATTTTCTTGTGTAAGATTTGGGAAAGTGTTTGGAAAATGTGACCGAAATAGTTTATGTTAATGCAGCTTCTAAATACTATTTAAAAATGTAAAATGACTGAGTTAAAACCAGCATTGTTTGACTGAGGACATCAGATTACAGAAACAATCCTTGGCTCTCTGGCCGAGAAGGTCTGGAATATCAAATTCAGAAGGATAAATTTAATATCATGGTTTTGAAATACCTTATCTCTTGCAAAAGTTTAACAGTAAATCATAGTGAGCATGGAATGTGAATTTTAAAGATGGTAATTCTTTCCAGAAGTCACTATGTACTTGAGCTGTTGTATGCTGTATCACATATTTCACTTCAGGGCCTGTGTTGGTGTGTAACAATGTTTGTGCAAATGTTGGGTGTTAAACTGAAGAAATCTGAAATTTAGGGTGAGAGAGAACTTTCTGTTTTCAGTATGTAGCTATTCCTTTAATTAGGTGCTGAGAAAAAAAGGAAAGAAACAAATCCCCTTCCTTCTTCACCAAAATAGTACTCCACCTTCTTTCAGTTAGTGAGGGTTTGTACAGAACTGGGTGCTGGTTGAGGAGGGTGCAGAACAGCCAGTCTGTCGAGGAGGAAAAGTTAATAATGAGACACTTGAAAGGATTCTCTTGTCTCTTGGATTTATGCAAGACATAGTAGCCAAACGCTTATGCATAGATAGCTGTAGTGTGTGTTTATGGGTATAGCTGGATGAAATTTCAAGCCATGTAGTAGTTGCTTGGAGGAGAGTAGGTATTGCTTCTTTATTCACAGTGCTGGTAGAGGCATCGATAACAAGTGAACAGCAAAAGCTTGTAAGAGCCACTTGCAGGGTTTTTTTCCTTCTGTTTCCTTAGTAGCTAGTTGATTTTGAAGAAGAAAATATTTTCTCTTTTGATAGGAAGTACAGGAAGATGGAAAAGATGAGAGATCCCACCGTTTGCAAAACAAGCTTTGAACCTAATTAAGACGAGAGGATTGTTGCATGCAATGTCAGAGTTTGAAAAGATGAAGGCTTATTCTGAATGACTGGAAAGGTTGAGGGCCAAGCCTTATGTGTCTCTTGTTTAGTTTTGCTCAGTCGCTTTCAGGATCCGGTGCGGATGCTGCAGCCCCGCTCTCCTTGCCCGGCCTTGGGGTGTCCGTCCCGGGCGCCAGCAGACCATCACGCCCCTTTTGCTTTGCAAAACGGATTTATTCGGAAACGAGGAGCTCGTCTCGAGCCACCTACAGCACCGATTGCAGATGAAGCCTGGTGTTGGGAAAGAGCTATTTCCACAGCATTCCCAAACTGCTGACCCTGAGGGGGGCGGGGGGCGGCACCGGGTACCGGGAAAACCCGGCGCGGCAGGCGGCACGCGGGAATGGGAGCGGCGGGCGGCCCGATAAGGAGAGGGAAGCGACCGCCGTCCTTCCATCCTGTAAACAAAAGGATAATGCAGGGGACGCAGCCGTGCAATGTGCTACGCGGCTTGCAGCGGAGAGGGCTCGGTGCTGCTGCTGCGTGTGTTTGTCCAAGGACGGTTATAGGCTTGTCTTTATTTTAATATTTAATCTGCACGTGTGTTTGTTTTTCCTCTTTCCCGTAAGCTTCTAAACGCAGACCACATGGAGGAGTGGTGCGGGGAGGCTCCTTGGGATTGACCCTATCCCTAGGAGGTGGGCTGTCTTCTCCAGCACCTCGCTTCCCTGAGAAGGGTGCCAGCCTGTAGGGTGCACTCAGAGGTACGGGATGCAGGGATGGATGGATGGATGGAACCAGAGTCAGGTCAAGGTAGTAAGGAAGAACCTCACACCACCAGCATCCTCAGCCAGCAGTGGGTTGGGTACCAAAAACGGGGCATCAGGTTAATTGCACTTGTGGCAGCCAATCTGGGAAAGTCACAGCGTGGGGAAGGAGAAATACATCATAAAGGACTTCACTGGTGTAAGTTTAATCAAATAATAAACTTCTGCAGATTTCCTAGTTTCCCTTTGGGATTTCATACTAAAGTTTGTTTGTGGAAGGTCTTCTGCCAGTGCTTAAAAAGGTCACCCAGAATTTTGGTAATGTATTTGAGTTTCAAACATTGTGATTTGGGAGACTACTAAGAATTTTGTTTTACTGAGAAACATATTCTGTTTAAAGAAAACTGTATTTTGCACATAGAAAAGATTATTTCAACAGTAGTAACAGTAGATTTGAAAAAATATGAATTTTTAAACATTACTGATTGCAGAAGAGAGAGAGAGCCTATATAATCAGCATTGTTTGTTTAGTTTGCACTTTTTTCAAACTTTGTTTTTAACTACATTTAAAAAATGAGAAGTTTTACTTCAAGTGTGGTTTGCAGTAATTTTGAAATGATGAAGAATCTACTTCTGTTTAATATTTACAACAGAAGACTGAGATAGAGTATACAAACAAGCTCCTTGCAATTACCTTCTCAGAAAATTAATATTTTGATTTGTGCAAAATACATGTTAAAGATCAGTTTGACTTCTCCTTTAAGGTCTGTTGCAGTAGTTATATTTCCATGTGGATAAGTGCTTTAAGGAAAATTATTTGTATAATTTAAAGGTGGCTAGCTTCCATGTGTAGTGTATATCTCTGCTATGCCTCTACTGTAGAGAGTGCTTTGCTTTTGGAAATCTCTGTCCATATTATCCTGTCACGGCAAGAGCAAGAAGTGCATCCACAGCTGCTGTCAAAACAGAACAGTTGAAATGTTGCTTGAAATTATCACTTCATTTAGTTCTACTGTGTTCTAAAAATGTGCAAATATTTAGGAGTTGGAGAAACAATTGCCTTCATCTGATATGTAAATAAAATAATACTGTTATTGGTGGGTTAAAACTTGTTACTTGCTAATAACTAGCCTTTGTTCTTAAACTATGACTGCTTTTTTGCTTAGAAACATGGACTGTGTATGATTTCATTATTTATGGAGATGTTTACACCCATTTTTCTTATGAAGTGTGAATTACTTATTCCACTATGTTTATGACAGATTACAATCAACAATTAAGTGACTTTTTATGGTGGATCTTAGTTCTGAAGTCAAAGTTGAAGTCAGATAGGAGTTTTGTTTCTGTCTCAGTGGGGTTAAGATTTTATCCTTTGTATTAATCCTGGAATTCTCAATTAAGATGACCATTACATTTAGTTGGTGTATAATAGAGAATTTTTCCTTAATCTAAGTCACCAGAGTGGGTTATCTTTAATTTTGATTTCTTTTCCATTCACAGAGTGCTCTGTAGTTTCAACTTGTAGATGTTTCTAGTAGTTGGACTAGTTTTCTAAAATTGAGCAGATACTATATGTAATAATACAAAAAACCTTGAGGGTTCTTTCTCTCCTCTGTCAGCTTCTTTTGCCTTGATTTGTTTGAAGAAGTCATCATCTGTAATGCATCTGCTTAAAATTGTTAATAAGGTGATTTTTGATAATAATGATCCTCCTCTTGCACTCGCCTTGTCAATTAGCTTTTAGTTTTGTGAGGGTTTTATGGTTGCACCTAAACAATAAAAAAGCCTACCTTAAGAAATCTCTTTCTCTTTCTTTCTAATGGCATTTTAGATTGTGGAAAAACATAAACTTTGATTCCTTTTTCTTTGGGATTACTTTACACAATGACTTGTATTATTAAGTTGTTTTTTTTGACCTCCATATGCCAACTGCCAAAAAGTTTTGGTTCTCAGAGCAACATGAGAATGTTTGTCTCTTTAACAAAATTAATGCTCATTTTAAAATGACTTCTTAAAAGTATTAAAAGAACTATATGCTGTGTTAGAAATATATACACATTTTAAAGTCTTTTTTGAATAAATCCATTGTAGTAGTTTCTCTTACTGCTAACTTCTGTAAGAACATCTAACTAACTAAAGAACTGAGCAACTTTTAATAACTTACATAGCTTGAGTTTTTAACTCGCACTTAGAATTAAAAAGTTGAGGTTTTCTTTTAAACATGTTGCAATTCATTTACTGTCTTTCAGATGACACTTTGCAGGTGACCAAACCAAAATGGTTAGATCTGAACCTAGCAGTGCCATTCATGAAAAAAAACGTAAACTGAAATTACCTAGTATTAAATGAAGCTTCTAATATTTTAAATTATGTTGGTTATATGGGTGTCAGCTTGTTACATGCAGATAGAATATCACAAAATCTATTAGACTTTTTTTTTGCTTTATACTTTAATTTGTTTAGCTGTACTGCTCATAGGAAGAATGTCATGGTTACTTTCAGTCATTTAAGATAAATTGTTATAGACCAAATTGAATGGTGGGTTTGTTCTAAAGTGAACCAGTACAGTCATTGCTCAAGGCAGAGGAAATGCTTAGGTTGATGATTGCTTCTGATTACTTGATTTCTTTCAAGATAGCTACAGAGACTAACATTCGTTTGTAAGTAAGAATAAAGGAGTGTTTGAGTAGAAAGAGTATTAGGGCATGTTTTATATGGTGGGGTTGGTTTGTTTTTGTTGGGTTTTTTTGGGTTTTTTTAAAGAGAGATTAACATGGGTTTCTTTACACTAGATTTATTCTTGCTTTGTATAGTGTTAATTACACTGGAATGCTGAAGTGGTTTATAAGCTGAAACATAGCAAGCATCCACTGAAAAATGGCTGTATAATTACATCTAGGTATTTCTATCTATAAGTTTTTCTCTAAAAGCACCATTAATATGTTTCTTTTTGGAGTAATAAACATCTAAAAAATGGTTACATCTGTGGTTTTTTTCTTCTGAATTTGTTGAAATATACTATACATTTTATACTGGTTGTCGATATGTTTTCGTGTGTCTGTGTTCATTGTGTTAGTCATGATACAGCAAATTTTGTGGAAATTTTAACGTTAAGTTGATACACAATGTGTAATAGCAATTTAAAGTGTATATGTTGACTGGTAAATTGTTGGTTGGTAAATTAGGATGTGTAATTATGAAAGTTTCACAACTCTGGGTTTTTTTTGTAGTTTCTTACAATGTTTGCTTAGAAGTGATCTGTCTATTCATGGAAATCAGTATTATCCCTGGAGTTTTAAGAAGATGGTGTAGTGACCTCCAAAGTTCAGATATGTTTTCTTTGTGTCTGTTGTCTGGCATGTAGTTATTTTTAAAGTTTTGTGTGTATATATGTAGGGGGTCAGGAGTGGCAGCTTTGAAAAGCCAAGTTCAGCTCAATAGTCCCGTTGTTGTTGGTTGTTGAAAACGCTGTCTCTCCTGCAGCAGAGTTTTCAAAGGAAAACTTGTTTGTTTGTTTTGTTGTTGTTTTGTGGTTTTTTTACACTTGTGTTTGTGTCAGCTGCCTTTAGCTATCAAACAAGGGGGCTTCTTGGATTAGTCAGCGTGCCCTGGCTCTGGAGAGGCAGCTGCAATAAACAGAACCAGCAAAGGTGATTCCCATTGTCTTTTAAATGCAAGTTAAAAAGTAGCATGCATTTTCCCCTTCATCTCTGTCAATTTTGGAGGAAGCCAGGATTACTGGTTTAGATTGCATTTGTAGTTTCCACACTAATACATGTAGAATGAATTCCTCAGTTGTAGGGTTTGTAGTTAACACAAGCTTTTAAAACTTGGGTTTTACAAGCCTGATGCAAACCACAGAAAAGTCAATGCAAAGATTGCTTACATCTTTACAGAGGGTCAGTTGAAAGTCTTTCTTGGTGTGTTAAATTGCTAACACATCCAGTGACATTTGAGGCTGGCTCCGCAGTAGGTTGTAATCTCTGTGTAGCCAAATAAGCAGTAATGAGTAACTTTTCTGAAGAATAGGTGGGTGCCTGCATAATTCCATGGAGTTACGCTATTGCTTGGTAGCTCAGGTGACAAATTGGATACTAAACTGGTACTGTTTAGGCAAGATTTTCAATCTGAATTTGAGAAATCCCTTTAGAAATTAATTTAAAAGACCAAGACAACACTTGGAGTTCTGTTACTTTTTTTGCTTTTAAAAGTACTTTAAAACAGTCTCAATTATTTTTATCAGTTATGATGACCCCAAATTGTGTATAGATATATCAAAAACAGTAATTTAAAAAAATCAAGTTCTTGCTCACACTGCAGGCAAATACTCTCTGGAAAGAGGCTTGTTAAAAGTGAACAGTGGGGAGAACATATTTGATGCTAGGGGTGGTTTTTTTTGTTTGTTTATTTTCAAATCCAGAATTGCCCACCTCCGTTAAAAGAAAAGTTATTTCAGAGTGTGTTTTTATCTCAGTAAATCAATCACAAAAATAATGAGGAAAAAACTATGCAAGCCACAAACCGAAGCCCCCCACTTCTGAATGGTGACATCTACACTGCAGAAGTGTAGTGCAATAGCTTTATTGCATAGATTAGGAATGATTCGGTGTTTTGTTTACATTATTTGTCAATCTCTTCAGCATCCTAGAGGAGAACACTTCCTTCCTGGCAGATGGCAGCCCCAGGGCCATGCACCTGCCATTACAAGCACTACACAGTAGTAATCTACCCCAGCATCGCTGTTGACAAGAGGCTAATGATTTGAGACCGTCTGCCTGACAGCGTAAACAAAATAGGAGCATATTTGTCCTTCAGTGAGGGTCTGAGAGATAGTAGGTAGGACAGTCAGGACAGTATGATGAAGAACTACAATGGGACTTAGTTTAGATCTCTTTGGTAGAGTTTGTAGCATGAGCCACTTGTAAGATAATGATGCTTCAAAAAGCAAACGGTGTCTCAGGGAAGGGATTTTCTGTTTCTCTGGCAGAGCAGTGTGACGTGTGTTGATGGCTGTGTTGATGGGAGGAAGGCTGGCGTGATTGCGCGGGCTGTGCGCTGGCTCCGCGACGCTCTCTGCCCCCGCCGCGAACAGGGAGCTGCATGCACTGCCTGGTACATGGGGCTGTGAGCGCTCTTGGGAAGTCAGAATGTCTCTTTGAGTGGTGTGTTCGGTGTTTGCATAATGCATTCCTATTTCAGTAATTTCATTTGTCATTTTTTGTGTTTTCATGATGACATTAGACAGTCTCTTTTATTATTTGTTCATTTCTCTTACGCCTATGTGTGCGTTTGCTTTTCTTCTTTGGAACTAGTGTGGGCGATGTTTCTAGGGGACACTACCCAAGGCAAGGGTATCTTTGAACTAGGCCAGGATGTTCTTTGCTAAATTTAAAAACTACCCAAATATTACCCAGAGTTTGTAGGGTATTAAGCAGGATTACATGACGCACGGATTAGACATTGTTGAGCAGCTTGTTTTTGTTTGAAGGGGTCAGAAATGGAGGCACTGGAGCTCTAGTCTGATGCCAAAATAGCAAACTTGCTGATAATCATGAACAGCAGAAGTTTCTTAGAAATAGTAGAGCACTTCGCAGAATTTTCCAAGCTTTCTCCAAGTGATGCTTTAGTAAAATTTGTTTGATATGTGCTGTGATACAAAACTCACTGTTCTGTTGAGTTTCAGTTTCCAAATCTGTTTCACAGGTACTTTAAAGTAGACTAAGAACACTGTTGGAAGTGCAACTCGAGGCAGAGGACTTTGATTCTCTTCAGTCAAAAACAAATCAATAAATCATTCCAGTAACAGTGGGAAAATCATGTCAATGAAATAAGATCTAAGCTGGCTTTGATTAGTCTCTTACATAGTGTCGACTGAGGCAGTATATTATTTTAAAAAGTGTTTATGACAGTCATGTCTACCTCATTAAATTGGGTGGCATTGTCAAGTTCAGGTGGGGAATTGGAATTACGAAGACTTTTCTATTTTGGGTTGGGTTGGTTTGTTGGTGTTTGCTTCTTTTTTTTTTTTTTTTGTTTGCTTGTTTGTGATGTTTTTTCTTTGTTTGGTTTGGTTTTGCTTTGAATCTAGACTTTATCTCACCAGAAGTCAAGATACGATTGAACAAGGCATAGTCTTTCAGGGCCAGGCTAGGCTTAACTCTTATGTAGAAGTCAGTGATGTTGAATAGTTGCTCAAGAACAAGAAAACAATAATGTTTTTTGTGTAGTCTGCCTTCAGACAGAGATCATTTAGGCTATAGAAACTTACTGGCAATAACTGGCAATGTTACATTTTAGCATTAATTAAAAGAATAAGAGTAGAATTGACAAATGGATGCAAACCTCACCAGTTTTCTAGTTAAGGCAAAACTTTTACATTGCCAAATTGACGGCTTCAAATACTGTGGTCTCTCCCAAGCTTGAATTACTGAGAAGTTAGGGAGTGAATTTCTTAAGCAGTCCTTTTGCTAGTTCCCCTGGTAGTGTTTTTTTTCAAAAACTCCAGTGAGGTTTTTTTTAGTTTACTTGAAAAGGCAAATCAAAGTCGGGGGATGTGTCTAACCAAAATTTTTACTTATACATAAAAAATACTTCTTGTGATGGAATAATGAGATTTGGAGCTGGAAGGTGGAGGTAGAGTTCTCCTGAAAGTCAGTTGCACTCAGTTGTGTTGTAACATCATTCATTTTTACACCAAATGTTTTATAAACATTTGGTAAAGTTCATAGGCGGCTGGACTTGCATCTTCTACAACAGCTTTCATTCCTGAGCAATTAGTTCAGCCAAAATTAATGAAATAGAACTATAATAATCTCTTATGTGTCTTTTTAGCATAGCAAAAAGAAAAATTACACTTTCATTGTAACAATCCTGTACATAAATGGTAAATATTTGTCTTGGTGATTGCAGTGAAAGTTGTTTGTGAACTATGGAAAGTCAATATTAAATTATTTACAACAAATTAGTTTTAATCTAGCATAAACCTTCAAACATTTATGTTTGGATTTGAAGTCTGTCTTGTATAGCAATACAAAATTAAGTAATTTTCTGAATGTTGAAGTTACAGAATTAGTGCTCATGACTTTAACAAGAGAAAATTACCTATGTGGACAAGCATTAGGAATAAATATATATATATACATGTATATATATGACCCTGATGCACAGAATACCTCAAATAACCGGCCATAAACTTAAAACTGTTAGTACTTATTGTTTTTCAATCTTAATAGTCTAGCAGTTTGTTTCACAAATGCCAGAGAGAGACTTAACATGCTCTAATGAGTGCTAGGATAATATTGCTTTCTTATGGATATCTACAGAAAGGTGATTTACTATACAGTTCAGTTTTAATCTCTAAATGTCAAATGATAACTCAGTAAAAATGAGCTTTTAACTTTAACCTTACATTTTCATATAAATGGTAGATTGTGTGGCCTGTAAATAAATAAATAAGTTGATGATAATTGGATGTTGAATGTTAGCCAGTAGGATGATTTCCAGCTCAAATGCACTGGTGTATTTCAGCACTGTAAGTGATTTCTAGTTTAGGTCCTCTCTTCCCTCATACTACTCCTTCCCCACCCTTATTGTGAATATTCAAGGGACAGTAAATGGAAAGGTTTGTAAGATGGGGTAACATGAGATAGTGTGTCTGTTATTAAAAAAAAAAATAGAACTTGATAGTAGTGAAATATTATTGATTTTTAGTGGAAGTCAGATTCAGCCCTCAGGAAGCAAATTGATGGACATTCATTTTAGTACATACACACTTGACTGTGCGGAAACAACAGCTTAGACCTTGCAGCTTGAGTGAGCGCAGTGGAGCTGGTGTGCCTTGATGCAGAGGGAGCAGGACTGTGCTGTGAATGAGCTGTGTAGGATGTTTGGCTGCCAGGCTGCTGTTTGATGGTGTCATTGTGAGGGGTCATTTAGAGAGTCTTCTGAGTCTGGGATTACTCCTTAAGTCTCGAGTCTGCTTCATCAGTCATGAACGTGGCAAGCTTTAACTTGCCATACTGGCCATGTGGATGCTATGTTCTCATATTAAGAGAAGATGGTGCAATATTTTCTATTCCTCTCACTCCTCAGTAGATGTTTTCAATTTTCTGCGTTCTCATAGATTGGCTGTTGTCACTGTTACAGGGTGACAACATTTTAGCCTTACTGTTTTAAAAACACATACTGGGAGTTACTTCCATTATATTTTGTGTCAAGTAGATTTGGGCTGGTATTCCACTTACTTTGCTAAAGTATTCTACTCTACTTTGCTGAAAAATCATACTGATTTAGTGCAGCTTATGCTGGATCCTTTATAAGGCATGGGAGAAACAGAATGAAGGGTTTATAACAATAAAAAAAGAAAAGGTGCTGGGACTTTAGAACATGTTCATAGGAAATAGTGAGTTATATTGAGAAGTGATACATAGGAGACAACTTTAAACTCTCTACCCCTACTGGGATGAAGTTTGTGCATCCTGTCTTTTGCTGGGTATCTTAAACCCTCTATCAGGCATTCATTTTTTGCCTGTCTTCTTGAGGGATTTTCCAGTTTGTTTTCTATGGGTTACCTGAGTAGCTGACACTTCATTCTACTCTGAAGACAAAGTTTTATTAAGCTCTGCTGAAGGTGTCAAAACAGTGGACAAAAAAGTCTTTTATTGAATCTGTATGTTAAATCTTTTTGCAATCCTAATTTATTTTTTTTTTACCATGTAAACCCATTGTTGTATTGGGCTTTGAAGTGGCTTTATCTCATTCATTAGTATAGCTGTGTTGTGTGTGTGTGTGTGTGTGTACCTGAGTAAGATTTTAGTTTTGATTCTATAGCCAAACATTTTAGTATGTCTCAAAATACATTAACTAATTATTTGCATTAAATACATGTCATTTTCTTACTCCCGGTAAGAATTAGCCTTGTTTGTGCTTGATACATAAAAACCTGTTGTCTCATTTTTGTAATTACAAATTAATTCAGGAGCAAGCGGAACTTGTGTCAATTCTGTGATTTAGTTTAAGAAAAATGGTGAAAATAAGTTTTACAGGATATAGTATACAGTGACTATGACTGTAATGGTTGGAATGAATAGCCCTACCATCTGTCTTTGAAGTTGGAAATTCTGTTTCTTCATTGAAACATGTGCTACTGGAGGTTTTTTCCTAGTAGGTGTGTTTTTCTTGGTGCATATGGTGACAATATTCTTTAATTTTCCTCTTTCTGGAATGTGGTAAATTTTAATTTGACAGAGATTTCCAAGATTTTCTGTAGCAGTTATGAGATATTAATAGGGAAGCTCAGAACCATTTCTCCTCTTTGTCTTAGGTAATTTTTTGGCCATTTGTAACCACATAATATCTTTCTGGAATAGTAATAATTAATTGCTTCAATTAATTTTTCAAGATATTTTAGCTAAAAATAGCTACTGGAAATAAAGACCTCTAACACAGTCGACAGCGTATTTTGTACTGTAATTTGAAAAGCTTTGATATAGAGAAACCAGTCATTTACAGGCTGTTCATGCTGGGTTTATTTCATATATATTTTGTGGACAACATGGTAATATGATTTTGTCCAAGACTTATTCCTGCTCTATAGAAAAGTGTATCTGTGGTCTCTTGTCTCAAATGTAGATTGAATCTGATTTTTTCTTTTGGATGATGATTGTTGGAGAGGCTGAGGCATCCGAGTGAAAGTCACTCAAAATCGCTGTATCTTTTGTTAGTGCCTCAGGTTGCTTGGTTGCTTGATTTTTTTCCTCGTTGTAAACAAGCAGCTTGTGTTGTAGAAACGTTTTTGGTAGGATTGTTTAGTCCAGACAGCATGGGATTATTTGCAAGCTGAGGGAGTATATTCCAGAGGAGGCAATTTATCTGTGTTTTTCTTAATAGGTTTTGTGAAATTCAGCTGTGCTGGGATCCTGTTTTGGTCTGATGGACATAACTCTAATTAAAGGGAAGAGGCTATAGGTTAACCACAGGACATGAGAATCTTAAGGGACCTTCATGTATGTGTCATAAGTGAAGCTGCTTAATGTTTCTGCGTTGCAGATTGCAACTCAGATGTCTCCAGTATGTCCTAAGGGCCCGTGTTCCTGGTTTAGATTTCCAACTATGTGGTGGATCTTTTTCATCCAGCCTAAGATGTTGCACTTTATGCAGAACTGTAGTAATAACTATGTAATGCCTACAAGGCACCTTAGGAGCCTACCAAATGACTCCTCTTCAGAGAAGGGTCTGTCTTCTGTAAGTAGTATTAAAAGGATACAGGTGGTTTTTCAATATTGAAGAGGCTGGTCAAAGCCTCTTGAGATGGAGATGGGCACAAAACCACCCTCCCTGACCATAGAGTGAGCCTATATGCTTGGCATAAATGGAACCTCTAACTTCCAGAGATCTGCAACTTGTGAGATCAACCTTGCTGTGCAGTGTCTTATTTTCAGCAGAAGGGCTTGAAATAAGACTGGTATTTGTATGTGGATCAGCTGGCATAGTAATGTGTTCTTGCTTGACCTGGACTGTACTTTAGTTAGTTGATGATATATTGTACTTGTTCAGTAAATGTGAAATTAAAAGGGATTTGTGTTCCCTCTAGCTGTGCAGCTTCTGCACTGTTGACTGAACACTTTTCAATAGATTTCCTGGTCAATCACAATATGTGACTTAGGCAACAGTATCAGGGCCTTGGCACTTGCCAGCAAACAGGCTTTAGAGGTGCAGATGCCCTGGGGGAAGCACTGGTGTTCTGCAAAGCATTTCTTCATAGCAGTGCCTGTGATCTTTCTGTTCTTCTAGAACAGCATCACAGCTTTATAGTGTCTCAGCTACTCCATTGTATCCTACAGGAAATCATAGTTCCTTAATATGATGTCCTGGGGTGTTCATCACACCTATTAGAGACGTCCTAAGTGGCTTTAAAGAGCTGGGATGTTGGCAGTGGGAGAAAATGCATGCAGGCCTTGATGTGCTGGAAAGCCTCCCTGAAATTTAGGGGAATTCTCTGCTAAACATTGTGGGACTAGAACCAATCGCTAAAGTATTCCATCCTAAGTGAGAAAGCTGGGTTTTAATCTGTTTTATAGAAACAGTCCTGGCAGCATAATACAATTTCAGAAAGATGTGAGTGTCAGTTGTATAGTTGTGTGGTCAGATGTATTGCTATAAGTAAAATGTATTTTTAAAAAATATTGTATGGGTACTGGTGAGCCTTTCTTAGAAAATTGAGTGTAATTGGTTGCTTATAAATATATTTGCTGACAGCAAATATGGGGAGCCATAAAACAAAACAAAGACACCTGTGTAAGAGCACTTGGGAGAGGAGGAAAGAACTGGTGAAACAGTAGAGTACACCTCTGTTTCTGTAAATACTTACTGAGAGCTCTTATAATTACAGAAGAAGGTGTATCTTGCACCAGAGTTAGTAATGGTGCAAGTAATTTACACTAATTTTTTTGATCTTTTTAAAGAAATCCCTTTGAAGCATTGAGAAAAATGCTGTGAAAGCACACTGTGCTCTGAGAGCATAGTATTTTTCCTACTTTAACCGGTTGGGGCTTTTTTGGGGTTTTTTTTGCTTGTTTTTTCTTGAGGGAGGTAATATTTTCTCATGCAGTCTTATGGCTAAAAAAACCCAATTAAATAAGTGCTATTTCCTAAACTGAGATTGATTGCATGTCTCACATATTCTTGTTCCTGAGGGTGGGTAAACTTGGTGCTTTGCATTAACATTACCTTTCTTAAAAATGCAGAGCTTTATTATCTGCTTGGTCTTGCAGAGCAAATCATTCTGCACTTGCTTCACTTTCTTTGTGGTAAACTATTTGATGGGAAGGATTCAAG